GCATTGTAAATTTTGGTCAATGACATGAGACAAAGTATATGTGAACTGCTGTATGAAAAGTGAATTTACTCTGTAAATCTTCACCCAAATCCTAAAATATAAAAAAACAAACAAAAAAAAAACCCCAACAAAGTAAAGAAGCCTACAAGATTGTAAAGAGGGAACCAGAGACATCAATTGACAAATGAGGACAACTGCAAACCAAAAAGAGGTAAAAAACTGTGTCATTACAGAATTTCTAGATGGTAGGGAAGTCAGGACAACTACAAGATAGAACGGACTGTTCTAAACTTGGAAAGACAACTATAAAACACAGGGTAGCCTCAAAGAAAAATGATAAACCTTTAAACCAAAAAGGAGGACCAGCATAAATATTCAGCAAATACTAAAACAATAGCAATGAAAGAAGTGATAACACGATTCAGAAACAAATGAGCTCAGCATAGAAAATTATATGGAACAAAGAAATGGACACATGATAAAGCACATAACAAAAACGACAGCAACAAATTCATACTTGCTGATGATTACATATCTGGCAAGGGACTTATTTCTAAGATTTATAGCAGAAAAGTAGATGACCAAACTATGGTACATACATGTAATGGAGTGCTGGTAGCATAGTGCCTAAGGCACTTGACTGCTAACCAGAAGGCTGGCGGTTCAAACCACCAGCCACTCCTTGGAAGGAAGGTTGGGCATTCCTACTTCCGTAGTGGTACTGCCTCGGAAACCCAAGGAGGGGTAGCTATGAGTTGGGGCCGACTCGATGGCAAACAACAACAACATGCAGCACTAAGGAATAATGTAAAGTCTGCAAAACACCACATAATATGGATGAACTTGGACGACATTATGCTGAGTAAAATAAGTCAATTACGGAAGGACTACAGTTCGTTGTTGTGGAGGGTCAAGGAAAGGTTTATATATGGAGGGAAACTTTCTTCATTGGTTGCCAAGGGTGAGAGGGGAGGAGAAAGAACACTGCAAGAAGGAAAAAAAGAAAGCACTGACCCATGTCACTTCAGTTTTGTGTATTTCACTGTACATAAATTATATTTCAATGAAATGCATTGTTAAAAAAAAAAGAAATGACTGACGTTCAACCATTTCAGAAGGTAGCATTATGATCAAGAACTGATGGTATTGAAGGAAGAAGTCCAAGCTGCACTGAAGAAATTGCAGAAAAACAAAGCTCCAGTAACTGACAGAATTTTCAGTGAGATGTTTCACCAAATGGATGCAGTATTGGAAGCACTTACTCGTTTATGCCTAGAAACTTAGAAGACAGCTACCTGATCAAATGACTGGAAGAGATCCATATTTGTACCCATTCCAAAGAAAGGTGATCCAACAGATTGTGGAAATTATCAAACAATATCATTAATATCATATGCAAGTAAAATCTTGCTGAAGATAATTCAAAACTAGTTGCAGCAGTATAACGACAGAAATTCAAGCTGGATTCAGAAGAGCTGTAAGAAACATTATGATATACACATACTTCTACATTAGATATACACTTGAATGAGGAATACTGCTGATGTCAGATGGATCTTGGCTGACAGCAAAGTATACCAGAAAGATATTTATGTGTGTTTTACTGACTATCAAAGGCATTCAACTGTGTAAACCATAACAAATTATGGATAACATTGTGAAGAATAGGAATCTCAAATACTTAATTGTGCTCATGAGGAACCTGTACGTAGACCCAGAGCAGTCATTCAAACAGAACAAAGGGATACTGTATGGTTTAAAATCAGAAAAGGTATGTATCAGGGCTGTATCCTTTTATTATACTTATTCAATGTGTATGCTGAGCAAATAATCTGAGAAGCTACACTATATGAAGGAGAATGTACCATCAGGCCTGGAGGATGACTCATTAACAACCTGTAATATGCAGATGACACAAACCTGCTGCTTAAAGTGAAGAAGACTTGAAGCACTTAATGAGGAAGATCAAAGACTACAGCCTTCGGTACGGATTATACCTTAACATAGAGAAAACAAAAATCCTCAAGTGGACTGATAAGCAACATCATGATAAATGGAGAAAATATTGAAGTTATCAAGGATTTCTTTTTATTTGGATCCATAATTAATGTTCATGGAAGCAGGAGTCAAGAAACCAAATGATGTACTGCACTGGGCAAATCTGTTGCAAAGACCTCTTAAAAGTGTTAAAGAGCAAAGAAAGATGTCAGTTTGAAGACTATTAAGGTGTACCTGATCCAAGTCATTTTTAAAAGCCTCATATGCATGTGAGACCCAGACAATGAATAAAAAATACTGCCTAAGAAGTGATCCATTTGATTTTTGGTGTTGGTGAAGAATAATGAATGTACCATGGACTGCTAGAAGAACAAACAAACCTGTCTTGGAGGAAGTACAGCTGGAATGCTTCTTAGAAGGGAGAATGGCCAGACTTTGTCACTTATACTTTGGTCATGTTGTAATAAGGGACAGTCCCCAGAGAAGGCTATGAGGTAAAGTAGAGGGTCAGTGAAAAAGGGGAAGACCTTCAATGAGATGGATTTACATAGGGGCTGCGACAATGAATTCAAGTATGACAATGATTCTAAGGACAGTACAGGACTGGGCAGTGTTTTGTTCCACTGTACACAGGTTTGTTGTTGTTGTTATGTGCTGGTGAGTTGGACCCGACTCAGAGCGACCCCTCCTTAGGTTTCCAGGGGGGTGGTAACACTATGGAAGTAGCTTGCCCAACTTTCCTTCCGACGAGTGCCTGGTGGGTTTGAACCTCCAGCCTTCTGGTTAGCAGTCAAGTGCCTTAGGCACTATGCTACCAGAGCTCCCGTACATAGGCTTGCTATGAGTCAAAACTGCTATGAGTCAAAACCAACTCAGCGGAACCTAACAACAATAAGAAAGTGCAGAAGGCAGGAAGGAATAGAAAAGAAAGACGAATGGAAATGGTAAACACAGAGAGGAACTGGGCAAAGTGCTATTACATTGTTGGGATTGCAATCAATGTCACAAAACGTGCATGAATTGTTGAATGAAAAACAGATTTGCTCTGTAAACAAAAAGTTAAAAAAAAAGTTCACATTTTTTCCTTTATAGGGTAATGCATAATCACAGTATTTCTACTAACATAGAAACAAAATTTTTTAACACATCTATTGCATAAAGAAAACAGCAGCTAATTTAGTAAATAAACATCATTCCATATATACCTCTACAAAAATACACAAATCTACAACTTAACATGAATGGGACCCAACTATTTTATTTTTCTTTTGTTCTTTACTCAGTATTTCTCTGATATCGTTTGACAGCAAAAAAAAAAAAAAAGAAAACAGAAATACATTTTTCCTTTTATTGGCTTCGTTGTATTTTATCAAATAAACATTGGTATGTCTATGGAATGCCCTATTGATTGGGACATTTTAGATTGCTTCAAATTATTTGCCATTATACATAACACTGATTATGTCCTCATACATCTTTTTGAAACTACCCAATGATCTCCTTAAGAGAAATTTCTCTTAGGATAAATTACATTGAGAGGGATTTCTGGGTCAGAGGTTTCAAATATTGATACATATTCCAAATTTCCCTTCAGAAAATGTGTCAATAACTTTACCTTCCCACCAACAGTACATGAATATGTTCCTTTCCTCACACCCTTAGCCAAAACTGAGTTATCATTCTTTTTCAGTTTGAAATCTAATGGCATTTCATGAAAACTGGTGAGGCTAAACAACATAATATAAAGGTATACCTTTTCCCCATTTTCTTACTATCCAAATGGAATTTTAGTATAACTTGAAGACTAACCATGATCTCCCTTTGTTATTTGGTTAGGTGTTATTTTTCTCATCTTGATAATGATTTTACCTATCACAAATACGTAAATGGCAAAAAAGCTATTGCTCTCTGACCCCTCAATCTCAAAATGCATCTTACCTGATCTGCCCCTAGTAGAGATCTCACATGTCAGTCGCTTAAAATATTCGGGAAGATCAGCATATTCATTTCCATATGAGATGACTTTAATCCCTTTGTCCAGCATGTTTTCTCGAAGCTTCTTGAATTCATCTACATCTCCTCTCCGAACCAGCATGAAATGCTCTAAGTCAGATTTATGCTTGACAGCCTCCAGGAAAAGGGCTTGGAAAGTGGTGTCATCCACAGTCCAGCCACAACCCAGGAAAAGAAATGACTTATTTTCGTAGAGTTTCTGAATCTCTCTCTTGAAGGAAAAGAAACAACATATGAATGACATTGTGAACACACACATGAGGCACGTCTGAAACATTATAAAGTCAATAGTCTTATAACTGCCACACTTAGACTGTGATGACCAGCTAATCAAGACAGAGTCCCACAGAGTATAAGAAAGTAGATATGTTCTATGAGGAGTTTTGATCCCCTGCTTAATTACTGTAAGTTGGTAATTGGTCTAAAATTTTATCTTTACCTGGCATTCTTCTGAAGGTTCTCTAATTAGGGTTTCATAGGCTTGGCACTGGTCTATTTTTTAGTATATTTTTTAGATCTATGGACTAAGAGGCCTTTAGACACTAAGCAGAGCTTCAATGGATCTTACTCCTTCCACTTTCTGAGTCAGATTTGCCTTTGTTGCCTTATAAAGTGGAATCATGAATTACCAGAGAAGACAAATCCACCACCAGATTTGTTTGAGAAAGTCTGACACTAGAACATCAATGTGTATGTGCATACGTACCCAAAAAACAAACCCACTGGCATCAAATTATTCCGATTCATAGTGACCCTATAGGATACAGCAGAACTGCCCTGTTGGGCTTCCAAGGCTGGAAATTTTTATGGAAGCAGATTGCCTTATTCTTCTCCCACAGAGCAGATGGGGGGAGTCCAACTGCTGACACTGGTTAGCTGCTGAATGCCTTAACCACTGCGCCACCAGAGCCCCTTGTGCACACATACAGTTGATCATTATTTGCAGATTCCACATTTTTGAGTTTACCTACTTGCTAAAATTATATTGCAACCCCCAAGTCAGTACTTGTGGCACTTTCATGGTCATTTGTGGACATATACAGAACAGTGAAAACTTTGACTGCTAACCAGAAGGCTGGCAGTTCAAACCCACCAGCCACTCCTTGGAAGGAAGGTTGGACAATCTACTTCCGTAGTAATACTACCCCAGAAATCCAAGGAGGGGTTACTATGAGTCAGATCTGACTCAATGGCAGCGAGTTTGGGTTTTTGTTTTTTTTTTGGTTTAGGCACATATGGTCAGGTTAAACAAAGTGATGCCCTACCTTCTTGTTTCCGATTCCATACTGTTAACAAGTGTCCCTTTTACGGTCTATTTACTGCTATGTTTTATGATTTTTTAAAATTATTTTTGGTGTGTCATTGTTTCACATGCCCCCAACAGTGTGCTTAAGTATAAGAAAGCTGTACTGCACCTCACACAAAAAAAACACATGTATTAAATAAGCTCTATTCAGGTATGAGCTACAATGCTACATGAGTTCAAGGTTAACTAATCAACTATATTAAAAAACGTGTCTTTAAACAAAAACATCTAAGAAACAAGGTTGTGTATTGCTTGGTTGATGAAAACGGTTGTGATCAGAGGCCCATAGGAACCTAACCCTGTATTTCTCCTAGGAGCAAGGATTCAATGTTCACTAATTTAGTGTTTGTAGTTACTTTATAAATCGTAACTATCACAGATAATGAAAACAGATTGTATTCTGGTTATTTAAAACATTAGAAGTCATTTTGTTTGTGGGATCAATCAAAGTCAGTGATGGGTACAATTACAGGAGATGGTAGGGAAAGAACAGGTTAAAAAAAAAATGCCCCATGCTGTAAACAACATCACATTTTCTTGGTCTTCCTTTTGTCCTATCATGTAAAGATGCTACCATTCTATGTGGCCCAGTCATGAAGACAGCCAGTACACATACTGCTCTCAGAGTTAGGGACCAGTGTATACATGAGCAAGACCAAAGCTTATATCCATGAACTTTTTTTTGTGAAGAAGAAAATCTGCATTTAATCACAAGAGTCTGATTTTTCAAAGTTTTTCCATTGAGCAGTGTTTTGTTAATTTAATAAAATCCAGTCATGTTTGCACATCTCTTTAGAATGTAAAAAGCTGCCCAAATCATTTTTGATATGTTGATGTTGTGTGTCACCGAGTTGACTCCAACTCATAACGACCAAATAAGACAGAGTATTAGTGCCTCATAGTGTTTCTTAGGCTAAAGTCTTTATAGGAGCAGATTTCCAGGTCTTTTCTCCCACAGAAAAGAGCCTTTGGTAGGTTTGAACCACTGACCTTTTGGTTAGCAGGTGAGCACTTAACCACTAATAAACTAAACAATGAAGAAATGGAATAATGTGTTCTTGGTGTGTGATGATGATGCCAGCAACAGAGTGCCACCTGCTGGTTGTCAGTCAAGTATAAACGAAATTCGCTGGTTTGAAACCTCAAGAGAAGCTTTACATTTCCTAGGATGGTGTGCATATCCACAAGCTACGAAGCACAGGAAGAAGTTTGACCTTCCAACTTTTAACTAATGCACAGAACCTATTTCCCCTTTAAGGCCTATGCCTTAGAGGGGTTTCCCAGGAAGGACTTCCCGAGACCACTCACCATAACTTCAGTGTTCCTGAGCACATTCTGATATCCAGCTGGATGCAGGACAATGCCACTAGGATTGGTGTAGACCCCATGGATGTGCAGCACACTCAGCTTCCGCTTCTCCTGAGCCCACTCGAGGACCTGCATGACACAAACACAGATCAACAGAGATGGTGGGGTGGAGTAAGTGCTTCAAGGTCACAAGGACAAGAGGCTGTTTTAGAGGACTATTCTTCTGACCTAACTCCTCAGCTTCATGATATCACAGGGCAAAAATACAAAATCTAAAATGGAGACTAACTTTCCATTTCAGGTATGATAGTTAGGACTTACAGCAGCAAGTTTAGTATTTCTCTTTGAAAACATCAACAATTAGAATTTATTTGCCTTATTTGCAGAATCAATAAGGCCTCCTTCCACTGATGACACGTATGAGAGCAATGGATGTCTGTTTCAGTAAAGGCTCCCAATGAATTAAGCTAAACTTTCCTGTGCCCTTGTGTGGTCCTTTTTCACAGGCTAGAGAACCCAGATGACATTTGAAGAAGCTTGGGCTATCCTGCTAGAGACACATGGCAGAGTCAAATGCCTGCACTAACAAACATGTAAGTGAGGTCATTTTATATGATACACCCCTGGTTAGACCAGCAGTTGATTGCAGCCATGTGAGTAATCTGCAAGACTAGCAGAAGAACTGCCTGCCAAGTCTAGTCCAAACTGCTAAACGTCATTATCATGGGCAAATAAGTATTTGTTGTTTTAAACCAGTAAGTTTTATGGTAATTTCTTATTGTAGTAATAATGTTGTTAGCTGGCACTGAACATGTCCAACTCATGGCAACCCCATGCACAACAGAAAAAAATGTTGCCCAGGCCTGTACCACCTCCACGATCAGCTGCAGGTACGACCAGTATGATCCACAGAGTTTTCACTGGCTGATTTTTGGAAACAGATCATCAAGCTCTTCTTAGTGCACCGTTAGTCTGGAAGATTTGCTGAAACCTGTTCATCATTATAGCAACATGCAAGCCTCCACTGACAGACAGAGAGGCAATAGATGAAGTGAGAGAGAATCACTTTAGTCACCTCTCAGTTACCTAAAAATCTACCCAGTGAAAAATAATCATTTAGATGATAATGATAACAATAGCCTCCTGGAATCCATGGACTCATTTCCCCAACAACTTGAGGCAATATTAATTTATTCTTATAACATCCTGGGGAAATATGCTATGGGTTAGGAAAAATAGTCGAGAGGCACAGAGAGAAATTTGAATATTACTAGGCCTCATTCTAACTACCAGTCAGTGTATTAAATATTGCCCCTAATGTGGGCTGAAAATACAAAGGAAATCTTGAGGCTGAAAGATAAAATGAGAAGGAAAATGTGTAGTTTAATAGACATCTTTAGCTTTGAAATGGTCCTTATGCTTCTGATGTTCATGAATACTTGGGGATGACCTTTGGTCTAGCTACTAATTCTCGAATTTAATTTACTCATTTGTTAATTAAAAAAATATTTACTGAGGACCTACTATATACTAGTTAGTATTTTAGACATCAGTGATACAAAGGTAGGAATAGCTGACATGGTTAACAGTTAAAACATTAACACTCACTGCCTTGGAGTCAGTTTCGACTCATAGTGACCCCTCCTTGGGTTTCCAATGCAGTATCTCTACAGAAGTAGATTGCCCAATCTTCCTTCTGAGAAACGGCTGGTGGGTTTGAACCACCAGCCTTCTGGTTAGCAGTCAAATGCCTTAGGCACTATACCACCAGAGCTCCCAAAACAAAAACACAAACAGATGACATTAAAAATTCAAGTTGTAGTAAATGCTATGAAGGAAATAGACAAGAGAATTGAACAAAAAATAAATGTAGGTTCCTTCTTCAAATAAGAGCTCTAGTAGCATAGTGCCTAAGGCATTTGACTGGTAACCAGAAGGTTAGTGGTTCAAACCCAACAGCTGTTCTGTGGAAGGAAGGAAGATGGGGCAACCTTCTTCCATAAAGATTTACTGCCTCAGAAACCCAATGCTATGAGTCAGAATTCAATCGATAGTGCGAGTTTTGTTTTGTTTTTTTCTTTAAATAGGATGGTCAGAAAAGACCTCTTGGAGGATATAATATTTAAGTTGAGACTTACAGGGTAAGGAGGAGCTGACCATACAAAGCATGAGGGTAACAGGTAGAAAACACTCCAGCCAGAGAAAACTATTTCTTTAAATTTGTGTTTTCTCCCTTTTAAAACCCAGCATGAAGGTCAGTTAAATCACAGGATTAGTATGATGGCTACTACTCTGGCAGAGGCAGTACCATGGCAGAGAATAGCCATGTTAGCCAGTGGGCTAACCCCTTTGCCTGTTCAAACTCTATTAATTGGGCTATAAATTGGACATAAAGACAGTTTCCTGAGAAAAGCCAAGTATAGAAGGAAAATTACAAAAATCACAGAGCAAGAGATATGAGACCTTAAATATTAATTCTATTATCAGTTCCTTGCATTCACCTGTATCCATAATTCAATATTATGGTAGATGGCTTAGGTATGGCAACATCTAAAAAAAAAAGTCTGCTGAAGCTTCTAATGAACATTAATGTCAATTCAGCTATCGCTTGGCGTGGAAATCCTAGAAAGTTGCTCTTCCAGACTTTACAAAGTAGTTTTCATACATTTCTAATAGGTGCCAAAGGGAAAAAAAATTCTATTGTTGTTATTTGCTGTCGAGTCGGCCCCGACTCATTCCACCAATACTACCAAATGCTAAAGAGATCTTATAATGCAAGTAACTTATATATAACCTTGCTTTAAGCCAGGTGCAGTTATCAAGACTCACAGAACTGAACACTTTTACTATATGTGCATTTTATATTAGCAATCAGTCTCAAAAAACAAACAAGACCCAATCTCAAATAGGAATAAGAACCTTCCTTTTTAGAGCTATACAAGTACCGATGTTATTCAATATACCAACTAGAAAACAGACATATAGCTCACTTCCCTGAAAAGAGACTAAGGCTTTATTTTTTACCTTTTTCTCATCAGTAAGGTCCAGGGATTCAAGTTGTTTTCCCTGATCTGCTGCATAGAGTTCCAAGAGATTATCAAAATTTGTAGTTAATACTAGGGCTCCATTTTCCATCAGGTGGAGAACTGACTGAAGTAATTGTTTTCCAGAATCTTCCATCTTTGACTCCAAGTCATCAAATACTTCATATAAACAGTCTTTGAAAAACGTGGATCGAACATTACTGGTACGCTGGAGGGGATTTGAAAGAGAAAAATTAATTCAAGGTGTCTTGCCATGCCATTTGTTTTAATTACAGTAATAGCAAATTTTTGAAGAATACTCATACTTAAAATAGGGATAAAATATTAGGGCTTTAATAAGGAAAGTAAGGACCTGTAGTAGTGTAGTGCCTAAGGCATTTGACTGCTTACCAGGAGGTTGGTAGTTCAAACCCACCAGCCATTCGATCAAAGGAAGGGGCAATTTACTTCTGTGAAGATTTACTGCCTTGAAAACCCAACGGAGGTCACTATCAGTTGGAATCGACTCAATGGCAGCGAGTTTGGTTTTTTGGAATAAGGAAAGTGTGGATGATACGTGCCAAGTTCCTAGCATAATGCCTACCTAGCACATAGGAAAGGCTATTACACAAACAAGCACAAACTCTCTAAATAGGTATTTGTGGTAGTCAAGTTTGTGTGTCAACTTTGTTGGGCCTGGATGAGTGGCTGGGCAGCTGGATGTAGTACTGCCCAGGATGAGACTGGTAATCAACTCCATGGTGGAACTACTGTGAGCAGCTGAGTAGCTGCCTTAGGGATGAGACCTGCTTCATGTATATAAGCAGCAGCTTGGGGAACGGTCTCTAGCTTATGGCAAGCTTGAACCCTGCATGTAGTCAAGTCATTGTTCAGCAGCCTGACATGCTCTGCCAATCTTGGGACTTTTAATGGAATTGAATTAATGGCCTGCTATATGGTTTGGTAATAGTGGGACTATGCCTTGCTACTTGTTGACCTTGGGCTTGTCAGCCTCAGCAACCAGCAGCTGAGTGAAGAAAAGCCTCCAGCTTCAGTGGGCAGGAGCAGGAGGCAGAGCTGAAGCCCAAAGTTGAGGGGCTTTCATCCAGCCCCTAGAGCCTGGCACTTCGAACTTGGACTTAAAGCCTCCAAATTTTAAGAATAAACTCCTGTTTGTTAAAGCCATCTCATTTGTGGTGTATTCCCATCAGAGTGGCACTAGGTAACCGAAACAGTATTTTTACAAATTGAACAAAGTGGTCATGGCAAAGAGATGTGAATTACTACCAGGACAACAAGCTAGCTGGGGTAAAAAGCACAGGTGTTGTTAGTTGCCACTGAGTTGATTCTAATTCATGGCAATTCCCACCTTTGCAAAGTAGCCCCATGCTCCACAGGGGTTTCCAATGACTGACCTTTTTGAAGTAGATTGCCAGACCTTTCTTCAGGGGCACTTGTGAGTGGGTTTAAACCACCAACCTTGTGGTTAGTAGTCAAACACTTAACTGTTTGTGCCAAGCAGAGACAGTACCAGCCCTTTAATCAGACCTCAATACTCTTTTTCTTTTTTGAAATTTTCCTTATCTAGCCACAAAAGGAAAGCTCTAAGTGGTTTAGCATTCTAGCATTCTGGTTGCTTTTTACAGCTGCTTATGAATTTAAGAAAATCCATATAACTTTTCCTTGCCTGTTTTTTCCCCTAACATAATTCAGTAATTTGCTATGAAGAATATCTAGGATAATAAAGGCTATGAAAATTTGCATTTTGTAATTATTAAAAATGATACAGATACTAGTAATTAATTTCTAAACAGACTCCTTATTTCTTAACATTATAATTCATTCAAATAACTGCTTTCTCAGACTCATTTTGAATATATGGATACACCTTTGAGGACTAATGGAAAAATATAAGAACAGCCTCAAACGAGAAGCTGGCTTGGGACAAAATGAATTTGAAATGATACAGTAACTATGCAAAGTGATATATCAAATAGCTTGGCTGCTAGTTCAAAGGTTGGCAGTTCAAACCCATCCAGCAGCTCTGCAGGAAAAAGACTCGGGGATTTGCTTCTGTAAAGATTACAGCCAAGAAAACTCGATGGCAGTTCTACCCTGTCACACGGGGTCTCTATGAGGAGCACGTGAATACAAGAAATGATGTCTGAAACTCCATTCTATTCGATATTATCAGAGGAAGAATTCATTTCTAAAGAGGAAAAATTCATTCCTAAGGGTCCCAATATTTCCCATTCATACTGTAAGTAATAACACTTAGCTTGTACCAAACAAACAAAAAAAAACCCAACACCCTAACAAAAGCCAAACCTGTTGTTATTGTTGTTAAGTACCATGAGTTGGCTCCTACTCATAGCAACCCTGCACACACAGAACGAAACACTGCCCGGTCTTGTGCCAGCCTCACAATACTTGCTATACCTGAGCCCATCGTTGCAGCCACTGTGGCAATCCATCTTGTTAAGGGCCTTCCCCTTTTTTGTCGACCCTCTACTTAACCAAGCATGATATCCTTCTTCAGGGAATGGTCGCTTCTGACAACAGGACCAAAGCAGGTGAGACAAAAAGTCTGGCTATTCTCGCTTCCAAGGAGTATTCTGGCTGCACTTTTTCTGGGACAGATTTGTTAGTAGTTCTGGCAGTCCATGGTACTTTACTATTCTTCACCAGCACCACAACTCAAAAGCATCAACTCTTGTTGTTGTTGTTATTTGCTGTCGAGTCGGACCCAGCTCACAGCGACCCCTCCTTGGGTTTCGGAGGCACTATCACTATGGAAGTAGATTGTCCAACCATTCTTCCAAGAAGTGGCTGGTGGGTTTGAACCACTAGCCTTCTGGTTAGGAGTCAAGTGCCTTACGCACTACGTTACCAGAGCTCCACTCTTCTTAGGTCTTCTTTATTCACTGTCCAGCTCTCACATGCATATGAGGCAACTGAAAATACCATGGCTTGGGATAGGCATACCTTAGGCTTCAATGAGACATCTTTGCTCTTCCAAACTTTAAAGAGGTCTTTTGCAGCAGATTTGCCCAAGGCAATATGTCATCTGGTATCCTGACTACTGCTTCCATTGGTGTTGATTGTGGAACCAAGTAATATGAAATCTTTAACAACTTCAATCTTTTCTCCATTTATCGTGTTGCTGCTTATTGGCTCAGTTGTGAAGATTTTAATTTTCTTTATGTTGAGGTGTAATCCATACTGCAGACTGTAGTCTTTAATCTACATCATTAAGTGCCTCAAGTCATCCTCACTTTCAGCAAGCAAAGTTGTGTCATCTGCATATCGCAGGTTTGTTAATCAATCTTCCTCCAATCCTGATGCCATGTTCTTCTTCATATAGTCCAAGTTCTTGGATTATATGCTCAGCATACAGACTGAATAAGTATGGTGAAAGGATACAACCCTGATTTTTAAACCATATTATATCCCCTTGCTCTGTTTGAACAGCCTCCTGGTGTAAGTACAGGTTCCTCATGAGCACAATTAAGTGTTCTGGAATTCCCATTCTTCTCAATGTTATCCATAATTTGTTATGATTCAAACAATCAAATGCTTTTGCATAGTCAATAAAACACAAGTAAACAGCTTTCTTGTATTCTTTGCTTTCAGCAAAGATCCATCTGACATCAGCAATGATAACTTTTGTTCCATGTCCTCTTCTGATCCCAGCTTGCATTTCTGGAATTTCTCTGTCAATATACTGCTGCAACCGTTTTTGAATTATCGTCAGCAAGATTTTACTTGCATGTGATATTAATGATATTGTTCAATAATTTCCACATTCTGTGGGATCACCTTTCTTTGGAATGGGTACAAATATGTATCTCTTCCAGTCAGGGGCCAGGTAGCTGTCTTCCAAATTCTTGGCAAAGACGAGTGAGTGCCTCCAGCGCGACATCCGTTTGTTGAAACATCTTAATGGGTATTCCGTCAATTCCTGGAGACCTGTTCTTTGCCAATTCCTCCAATGCAGCTTTTTTTTTTTTTTTCCTCCGTATGTCTTTATTAACACATTCTCAGAAGTTACTTGTGATTTTCATAACGGTATCTTTAAAGAGGACAATGAATAAGGAAGACTGAAGAATTGATGTTTTTGAGTTGTGGTGCTGGCAAAGAATGCTGAAAGTACCGCAGACTCCTAAAAGAACTAACAAATCTGTCCTGGAGAAAGTGCAGTCAGAATGCTCCTTGGAAGTGAGAATGGCCAGACTTCGTCTCACATACTTTGGTCATGTTGTCAGAAGGGACCATTCCTTGGAGAAGAATGTCATGCTTGGTAAGGTGGAGGGTCGACGAAGGAGGGGAAGGCCTTCAACGAGATGTACTGACACAGTGGCAGCGGCAATGGGCTCAAGTATAGCAAGAATCATGGAGCTGGCTCAGGACCAGCGGTGTTTTGTTCTGCTGTGCACAGGGTCGCTATGAGTCAGAAATGACTCGACGGCACCACCTTGGAGTTCTATTGATATAAATAAATGTGAGAGAGCCTTCCATGATTATTATTATCATCACTGCTATAGTCATTCAGGAAATTATAGCTTATTTGGTGCTTTAGTTCTCATATTAATGATGTGAAGTTTCATGACATCTAAATAGATGTAGTCCCTGTCAGCAGTGTGAAAGCTTCCTAACAGCCACTGTGCAGAGGCGCCAATGTTCTCCTTTCAGGTCAATGCAGCTTTGACTTCTTCCTTCAGTACCATTGGTTCTTGATCTTATGCCACCTCCTGAAATAGATGAACACTGACCAATTCTTTTTGGTACAGTGACTCTGCGTTTTCCTTCCATCTTCATTTGATGTTTCTTACATCATTCAAAAATTTTGCCCACAGAATCTTTCGATACTGCAACTTGAGGCTTGAATATTTCCCTCACCTCTTTCAGCCTGAGAAATGCCGAGTGTGTTCTTCCCATTTGGTTATCTAACTCCAGGCCTTTGCTCTGACTTATGGGGACCCCATGTGTTACACAGTAGAACTGCTGCTTCATAGGGTTTCTTGGCTGTAATCTTTACAGAAGCAAATTGCTTGAACCACCAACCTAGCTGCTAAACTAAACAACAACAAAAAACCCCAACCAAACCCACTGCTCTTGAGTCAGTTCTGACTCATAGCGACCCTACAGGACAGAGTAGAATTACCCCATAGGGTTTCCAAGGTTGCAAATCTCTAGTGAAGCAGACTGGCTCCTTTTTCTCCCGCAGAG